CAGTCACATTGCTAATGCTAGCAGGCAATCTTATGGTAGCTAAACCAGAATTACTGATATCATATGATACTGGGTCATCAGTTATCCCAGCTACATGAAAATCATCTGAAATGTGTAATGAAGATAAACCAATTGTATCTTACTCAATGGTGATCCAGAAAATGTTATACTACTGAAATTTGTCTTTTGGACCTACATGTACATAAGACACCACATGATAATAATACACTGAGCCTATCTTACTCTAAGTCCCTGAAATGCAATGCCAGTTTCAATGATTATCAAGTTAGTAAAGTTCTCTTGACTTATTAATGCTTCTACTATCCTTTCAAATGACTGGATGATACTGAAAAAATAATCATGAATCAATTATCTGCATAGTACTTCATACTTATTTGATTGCGTAGCTACTACTGGTGACGGCCATTCTTGTACATTATCAAGTATTTCAACAGTGCTCTTAGTTGCCTGTATAAACAAAATGATTAAGCATCATAAAGCATGTGGGTGTATCTAATAAGCACTCCATTTCATACCATAGAAACCTCTTTAGTAGATAGCACTGTGATTACATTAGGACTAGAGAATAAATTAGCAGTTTGAACAAGGAGTGATGACACATTGCGTAGATTATATTCATTCTGATCACCAGGCTGACTTGCCGTCATAACCACTTCTGAGAGATTTTGAGCAACTTGTACAACATTTTCAGCAGTTACATTAGTCTAATAAGAAGAAAAGAAGCAAGGATATACCAAATCAAGACTTAATTAGTATACTTACATCAGCTATGCTAACAAATTCAGCAGTAATCTTAGGATCAGCACAGTTTGATATATCATGAGTGTCCCATACACCATTCCTTCTACACTGTCTAATAGCTCTAGCTCCAATAGGACCATGAGGACAAGTAAGGAAAGCTAGTGACCCAACAGGTGTTACTGGCCATTGAAATGTACCACGATTTGTTACAATAGTTGAATTTTCACAAGCAACTAGATATGTATTAAAAGGTACAATAAGATAACAGAAATTAGATCTACAAGTTTCACATTGATTTTAAAGAATGGTTACTACAACTTTGATTACAAAACCAGTTAGCTAGAAAGCAGCAAACAAAATTTATATAACCAAATTCTTGGGAACTTACAAGCAAAATTAGTCCATGGTTTTTTTCAAAAAATGGCTCCAAAATCACTCCAAATTTTTATTACATTTTCTGATACATTTTGATATCCTTATGCTGTGTAGAAAGTTTAAGGTGATTCCGACTTCAATTTTTCAAGTTACAGCCAATTTAATAAAATCCCAAAATTTTGAAAAATACCCAAGGCTATAGCCCATGGTTTTTTCCGAAAAATGGCTCCAAAATCACCCCAAATTTTTATTACATTTTCTGATACATTTTGATATCCTTATACTGTGTAGAAAGTTTAAGCTGATTCTAACTTCAATTTTTCAAGTTACAGCCAATTTAATAAAATCCCAAAATTTTGAAAAATACCCAAGGGCTATTCTCTTTTAATAAAAATATTTTAAGGGCTCAGTTCCCTTTTTAAAAGGCTATAGCCCATGGTTTTTTTCCGAAAAATGGCTCCGAAATCACCCCAAATTTTTATTACATTTTCTGATACATATTGATATCTTTATGCTGTGTAGAAAGTTTAAGCTAATTCTGACTTCAATTTTTCAAGTTACGGCCAATTTAATAAAATCCCAAAATTTTAAAAAATCATAGCCCATGGTTTTTTTCTGAAAAATGGCTCCAAAAACACTTCAAATTTTTATTAAATTTTCTTCAATGGTTTGCATCAATTTGTGGCTTTAATTTTTTAACAAGGAAATGAATGAAATTGTGGGTTTTAATT